TAAAGTTCCTAAGTTGGGAATTTCTTTAATATGATATTGGAGAAAAATCGCTCAGGAACAATTCATTTCAAGGGCGTCCAATTGCTGGCTTATGCCGATAACACCGACATTATCGGTAACAAAAACCGCTAAATTTGTTCTGCCTTTTCCAAGTGAGATAGTGAGAGCAAAGCGGATGGGTCTCGTGGTAAACGAGGACAAGACGAAGTATATCCTGCCATCAAATAAGCAGTCAGCGCCTTGGTACAAACGTCACTGTTGACAGGTATAATTTCGAGAAAGTTTAGAATTTCGTTCACTTGGAAACCAGCATTAACACCGATAATAATGCCAGCATCGAAATTCAACGCAAAATCAGTCTTGCCAACAAGTGCTACTTTGCACTGAGTAGGCAAGTCCTCTCTCGACGTACGAAAACCTTTCTCTATACCTGCGTCATGCCTGTGTTGGTATATGACGCAGATACATGGACAACGACAACATCCGATGAGGCGACTCTTGGAGTATTCGAGCGAAAGATTTTGTGGGAGATTTACGGGCCTTTACCAGGCCTGCCAACTGGGCTCAATCCATATTTTACTTCAAATGTTATATGCTGAATAAGGTTTTAGGCAAGCGACTAACTGTTAATCTAATTTTGTAATACGAGCTGCCAAACTGAACCCCAGCAGTACCATACATACAACAAATAGAGGATGCTGCTGGCTTACGGAGAAGCAACTAGTTGATTGTTTTCCCAGCAGGGTATATCTAAATTTGTATGAACATACAGCACATGAGAGCCTTGCTTGCTTCTATCTATTTATGGTTGTTGCATTGCACTCATACTAGTTACGTATGTACATATATGTTTGTGAGCGGGTAAGCATACATAAGGCAAGACAACAACTTCTGGAAACTTGGCGATGTTTATTTTGGCTTTTGTCTAAACATCTGAACATACTACAATGCCTTTGTACTATAACATGTACGCAAGCGTTTGTGTGCAAAGTTCCTACACTGCTATGCGAATGTGTAAATATTTAAAAGCACTTTGTCGTTGCATTCACTTGCTGACTGCCTTAAATCTGATGCATGAGGCATGCAACATGTGCGTCATATGCCAGAGTGTGGCATCCTGCATAGCTATGTATGTACACTTTCTTTTCAACAACAAAGGACGACAGACTTGATTCAATTGCGTTTACTTGCTGTGCCATGAATGTGATGGCGTTTTACGTGCGTTTGAATGTTTAAAAGACTGATTGTGTGCATGTGGCAATTGCTAAGCAGATAATAAACTGACTCACTATGGCGGTTGACTCGCTTAGCTGCCACAATGGTTCGCTTCGTATCGTTTCGTTTCGGCTTAGCTGGTGAAACGCAAACGCTTTGGGATTATGCGAGCAGAGTGCAGCTAATAAAATATGCTAAGTTTACACATTTTCTTAGTGTGTCATAAGAAATTTATACCAGTGAATATTTTGTACGCGGACGTACGCATGTGTACTTGCATGTATGTACAGAGTATATGTGTATCTTCATATGTGTGATGAGAGTAAGTCATACATCAGGCAAGTAACTAGATCAAAAAAAGGCTATAGACATAATAAAAAGGACCAGAGAGCACGACGGGAGGATAACAAGTGTTGGTCGGTGGTTATATGTTTGTATGAAAATGTGGACGCGTGCTGCTATGTGGTGAAAGGAAATTAAGTCAAAGCCCCTACATACAAAAACCGACTTTTGTTGATATTTTTTCGCATCAATGACCAAAACTAAATAAGAGTCTTTTGTTTTGGATTACAAAATTGATATCACTTAAGCCCTTTAAATATTGCAGCGACCAGCTTTTACGCAACTTTTTAAGCAAGATTGATGAAAGATGCACATGAGCAAATCCCACGAGTTGTTACATTTTTCGACAAGAACATGATAAGTGGCACACTTATCTTAGAAAATGCATTATCTTCAGTTTTGCATAAAGAATAAAATTCCATCGCGTAATTGTATTTAAATGAAAACTTAAAAGAGATATACTAAAAAAAGTAATAATAACAATTCATGCTCATATACCCCTAGTTTTGTATGTAACGTATACGCCCCGTAGCAATACACATAGTCAGCTCACACGTTTACTCGTGCGCCTTAATTTAAAAGTCATATAATTTAAAAGTAGTTAAATATTGGCGTGGAAGACTTTTACACAGTATTCCTTATGCACATATATAATACTTTCTTCATGTATACAACAATTTTAGAATGAATTTCATGTGTGCCAACAAAAATGGTAAAAATGGAATTTCAGTTTCTCAAATCATAGTTATCTTTTACTCAATGTAATTTTCTTTCGATTGGTGGCACAAAATAGTTTTATTACACTAGATTCGTTCATTTTGGCAAGAAAAACATTTTCACCGTTTAACTTTAACACTTTAAAGTACTTTAAATTAATGAAATTTAAAAAGTCGTAAAATTTAAAAAAATTACAAAATAGCTACGGCAGACATTCCGCATGCTGCATTTTTTTTAATTTAGTGGCACACTCTTGAAACTTCACAGATATGTTGTATTTGATGCCAACGTCCATTACTTCCAATATGAACCTTCTATTTGAAAACTTCACAAAGTTATTAAAAAAAAAAAATTATGCTTTTTCGAGCGACAATGAAAAAATTTGAAATTTCGGTACTTTTTCACATAAATAAACGTTTTAAGGCAAACATTATTCAAATACTTAATTTTTTTATTTTATTTTCACTGTACTTGTTTCTCCATTGATTGAAATATATGCAAGAAAAATGCTTTAGCGTTTTTTTCTGGCGAGAAAAGGAAGTGACACTACAAAAAAAAAAAACAACTCGTGAGATTTTCTCATATGCGTGCTGCACTGTTACGCTATTTAAAATACTGTTTGATTTTAAATCCGTTATTATTTAGAAAATGTATTTGATTTGTGATTTGATCCATCGAACAAGTTAAAAATAAAATTTATTTGGGATTTGATTCATCGACCAAATTAAAAATAAAATTTATTTTGGATTTGATTAGTCGGAAAAGGATAAAATAAAATTGATTTGTGAATTTGTGATTTGATTCGTCGGAAAAAATATAAAATAAAATTGATTTGTAAACCAAATAAAAAATGAATTTTATTTTATCGAAAATCGTGCTTGCATAAAAAATGCTTTTAGTAGGAAAACCACGAATGAAATTCATTTGCACGACGATTACAAATAAAATTAATTTTTTATTTGGTCAAAGCATCACAAATAAAATTTATCCATCGAACAAATAAAAAATGTATATCATTTAGGATTTCATACAACTATCAATTCAACAATCAATTTTATTTTTGGATTAGGGATTTGACTAATTAAAAATCACACAACCCTGGAAATTTGAATGGGCTATAGAACCGCACACCAAAATTTTAAGAAATTTGATTTTTTTGGTGAAAATTTGTTGAATTTTTATAATTCTTGTACGAAATTTGAAATTCGTTTTATATGGCATTTAATGTAAAACTAGCTAGAATTTTATAGAAAAATATCAAATAAAAATGAGCTGAGTCTATTATTTCTGCCACCCGTTTAGGAACATTTTTACAGTTACAAAAACTTTTGAACGGTCTTTCAAGTTCTATAGCGCAATTTGACAGAAGAACCATTTCAAAGAGTTAAAAACATTGAAAATAGTTTTGGACGATTTCAGATATGGTTTTTCATATATAGGATTAGAACTGTAAACTTTGAGGTGACATAAAATGAAAAAAATTACTGATACAAATATTTGGGAAAATATGACATTCTTATTTTTCATAACCTGTCAGAAAAATACTATGAGACTCAAAGATTAAATTTTTTCATTTTGTTGCACTGTGTTATTAGACAGAGTTTTAAACTCTTTTTGAATACGGGTTTTATTTTCAATAAACTCAAGAATAGAGCGTTCATAATTCAAACTTATAATGCTCTGGATTTGGTATTCTATTTTGTTCAAGAGCATTCATTTTCTTTGGGCTTCCATATAACATTGTAATTAACAAACGAATTCTCTCGTATTGATTTGAAAATTGTTTTTAATTATTTCTTTTTCGTGTATCCACATAAATATGTAAAAAGAACGACCATTACTAAAAATCGCTCTACTCCTTGCCTAACTGCCACCATTTTACGCCTATTCTCTCGATAGAATCACTGGAATTTCTCTCGTTAATTTAGCTTTTTTAGTTGTGAATGCGTTAAGGAGTTTGCGCATCGCTTAAGTGTCCTCATTATCGCGTTGCCGTTAACGATAGTAATGACAGTGATGGCTTTGTTGTTCTTTTTCTTCCACACAGCAATAGTTATATACATAGTCCTTTAAACCCTCCACCAACTCCTACTATCTTCTACATTTCCATCTGCCTTTTCTCATACAACTCGCATGGCTTGTGACATTGAATGAAAGTTGTTGCTATGGAACCAACCATTTTCACTGTACTTTCGCCGCCCCTCCCACGGAAGTGCAAAAGCCACCTTTAACGTAACTTCCTGCATGCCACAGGGCAATGTGTGAAATGAGTAGTATGTGAATTCAGCGCCACTTGACGGTGTTTTGCCACGCGCTTTTGCATAATTTGCGCAATTTTGCATAAAGCATGAATGCAAAGTGCACATCACCAGAAAGCAGCTATACAGTCTGCAGGCTGCAGAAGCAGAAAACGTAGCAACATTACACTACTCTTTTTTGGCTCTCTTCTCTTCAAGAAACACACAGTTTTGCCATAATGGCGCCGTCAGCCGCAGTGTAGTAACGTTACTGTAGTGGCATCACATAATGACGAAGTACCGGCCATTTGTCACACGCACAAGCACAAGCACACCTACACTAACACACCCACTTAGAGTTTGCATTCTTAATCCTTGCACTCAGGCTTCTCCAGTTGCGGCTGGCCACACGAGCCCCTTTCGTTGAAGCGTTGGACGGCTCCACCATACTTTCGGTCTTTCCCTTCGCTTCTATTTATACGCTAAATAATGGCCAGTGGTATACTGGCAAATGCAAGCGGTTGCATTATCGTACTTGACTATGATGCTTGTTGACGTTGGATGGATGTAGGAGATGTTTTTTTTTCGGTTCGCTACTTAGCGAACAGTGGAATGAAAGGAGAATAGTTCTGATTGCCGCTATAAAATAATACCCACTTTATGAAATTCCAACGCTGTCGTTTCTTACGAATTTTGAGAAAAAGTACCTATTCCATAGCGTGGGCTGCAAACGAAGTAAAGTTTTGTAGAATAATTGTTAATGAAAGTCTAGAATTCCGCTAAAGTTTAAATAAATGCAAAAACAAAATAAGATACTGCTTAGGATCCTGGACATGTCACTTTAGCACATCTCATATATTTGATATCTGTTATACCGAATGCTAGAGAATTATGCTGATAATTTTGAAGCTCTTACTAAGATGGTTGTCTAAATCGAGCCAGTTTCATCAGCTATTTTAGTACCTCGAGTAACTTATATAACAGGTGGCAACCCTCTTAAAAAATCGTTTTGAAATAAAGCTGCCTTAAGCCTCTGTCATTTGATATCCATATTAAAATATTTGACTTAACCTGTTAATTAAATTGGTTTCAATATTTTGGGCAGGTAGAAACCCTTTTCAAAACTGGAGGCAATCTTCTCAAAAAATATTGTAAAAATAAAGCTTCCTAAAAATTACTCTTTTGACATCCATATTAAAATAGTTCAGTTAGCTTGTAAAATAATTTCTGTGAATTACATAACAGGTGGCAACCTGATTCAAAAATATTTTTGAAACAAAGCTCTCTTAAAACTCCCTTCTTTGAAAATTATATCAAAATTTTTTCTTTAACTTGTTAATTTAATTGATTTCAAATCACGAAACAGATGGCGACACTCTTAAAAAATATTTTTGAAATAAAGCAACTTTAAACCTCTCTCGTTTGATACCCATATTAAAATATTTGTCTTAACCCGTTAATTAAATTGATTTCAACGTTTTGAATAGGTAGCAACCCTCTTCAAAAACTTTTCGGAATAAATCGTCGTGAATTTAAACTTTTGAAAAAATATGGTAACTCTCTTCTAACAATATTCTTACTTATATAGTAACCCAGGTTGCTGTTACTTTTTACCCAGAAAAACTACCCTGTAGTTATTTCTATCCACCCCCTATGCGGGAAAGTGGTTGCCTGGCGACCACAATTCAAAACAAAGTAGAAAATCTGTAATAACAATTTTCAGTGCAGTTCAGTAAATAGTTGTGTTAAAATAAAGTAAATAATAAATACTTTTCATCAATTGTATCACCAAATACAATATGGTATTTACACTTATATTGAAAATAGTTCTTGCTGTAGATAAATTGCAAATCCATATTTTCACCAATCCAGATTTTATCGCGTGGCAAAACTGATTCAGCAAGTTCACGTCAAGCAGTTAGTGGCTCACTTGCCAAGCGGTTGCCCAACTCATTGGAGGATTTCATTTTGAAGCGTGACTACACCGGCGCGAGGGCGTTTCTTGAGGTATTACTTGAAGCTGTAATTGAGTTAGGCAAATAAGTATAACGTGTTTTGAGAATATGCTAGAACTTGAAAGTACGTGGAGAAGTATGCAAATCGACACACACCCCACATTTTTGTGGATTTCAAACCCGCTTTTGATAGCAAAAGGAGAAGCTGCCTCTATGAAGCCATAAGTTCGTCCAAATTGTGAAAGACCCCTCCGACCTATTCAGCTGGGGTCAAACGAGGTTTTGAGCGGGTAACTCAAGTCCGTGCGAATTCTTCAATCTGAAAATAAAATGTATAATAAGAACATTCCTGCCAACTTGGCTTAAACCCCTCCATTTTTGGCGCTCTTTTAAATTAAATGGCACCTAATTTTTCAATCTGCCAAGAGATGCCAAAATCCCATTTTTGAAAAATAGTTATATTTCATAAAAATATTTGTGAAATTCTTCGCGTATGCTAAGTGTTTTTTCGGCGTAATTTTGCAGAACTTTATTTTTCCTTCTCAGGAACTCTAGAACTTTTGAAAAGCTACTCAGAACAGTTTTAATTTTTATTTTTTTCAAAAATTTAATTTTTTGACTTTTTTGAAAAAAGTGTTTTTTTCGGCGTAATTTTGCAGAACTTTCTTTTTACTTTTCAGGAACTCTAGAACTTTTGAAAAGCTACTCAGAACAGTTTTAAATTTTATTTTTTTCAAAAATTTAACTTTTTCGACATTTTCGAAAAGGTGTAACTTTGCAGAAGTTTTTTGTTAATTTTCAGGAACTGTTGAAATATTGAAGCATTGCTCAGAACAGTTTTTTATTTGCCTTTTTGCCATATATCGTATGCTGAGTGAATCTGGCATACACAATTCTTTAAGAAATTTTTTTTGTTAAAATATCCAGAACATTTTTCCTCTTCAATAACTATGGGAAGGCTACTTAGAACAACTCCTTTTTTGTCGTTTTGCATCATACCTAATGTGACCAACCGTACTTCTTTCGGAAGTACAGTACTTCTTTTTTCGGTCTTGTACTTCGTACTTCGAAGTACAGTCCAATGCACTTCTTTGCAATATCTTGTACTTCAGGGGGGAGATTCTGTAACCAGTGAGCGACAATTTTCGGATTGCTATCGCACTTTTTGGTGCATGATAAAAATGTTTTTGCATCGAAAAGTGCGATAGCGATTCGAAAATTGTCGCTAACTGGTTACAGAATCTCCCCCTAGGACCTGTACTTTCCAATCTTTTGGACGATCGTCACATGGCGTGGACGATAAATTCGTTCAAACTATTAAAGTCGCCGGGGATCGATGGCATTGTACCTGCGCAGCTGCAAAGGGCTCTGAAGGTGTCATGAAATTTGTTGGATCCTATTTATGCGAACTGCGTGGGGACCGGGTACATCCCCAAGGCTTGGAGGGTAATCAGTGTTGCGTTCATCCCGAAAACCGGAAAAGGTTCTCAGGCCTAGGGATTTTAGGGCTATCAGTCTCTTCGTTTTTGCTAAAAACGCTTTAGCTAAAAACTATGGGCAGACTGATAGACCTGTACATAAGAAAAGCGATTGAGCGTGATTGTCTTTCAAGAGCTCAATATGTTTATTGCAAGAAAAGGTCGGTGAATACCGCCCTGCACACATTGGTAAAATGGTCAAAGGAAGCTTCCACGCATGAATATTATGCAGTAGGGGCCTTCTTCGATATCAAGGGACCTTCAACAGTGTTTCTCCAGAGGCAGTAGTCAAGTATATTCTTAATCTGTGGGTTGAAGCCAACGTAATACGCTTACTTCGTGATAGAACTGTCGCGGCGGAGTGGGGGAGCGTCTGTACTCAGTGAAGAGTCGAGGGGAGCACTCCACAAGGTGGTGATCTGTCTCCCTGCTCTGGATTGCGGTTGTAAACGACCTTCTAGAGGAACTGGAAAAGTGGGCTGTCGGGTGATCGCCTATATAGGTGATGTGGAACTTTTGGTTAAGGGACGATTTCCATACACCTTTTTTTGATCTGGCTCAAGGTTACCTGAACCAAATAACTAGGTGCCTTGTACTGCTGTAGGGGTGCTTTTGGTAAAAGATGGGGTCTCTCGCCCGCCCAAATTAATTTATTAGATCTAGGAAACCAGATTTAAGCCTATATTGTTTCAAGAAGCTCTTGTCTGGTGGAACTCACTAGAGAAGGCTGCACTTGTAAAACAGGAACTAGCGGAGCATTAGGAACCACACCTACACTGGCGCTTAACATACATATGTTGAAAACGGCGCCTGCAGATATTGCCGACAGAAGCGCGAACCGCTATTAGGCTAAGGTAAACCGGGTCCTTTTGTGACATAAAAAGGAAAAGAAGACGTTTCTCTGCTGCAGCAAATGTTTGTATAGGGCATCATAAAATACGTTATCTCTCAAGGGCTAGTGATGGGGGTTCTGACAGGCCATTGTGCGATTGGTATTGATGCGGGGACTAAGAATTTCAACTCATCCTTTTGTATCAGTTGTCAAGAGGAAGATGAAGAGAAATCATATCCACACTTTCTTTTATACTGTCCAACCTTCCCGAGGCTAAGATGGAAGCATTTTAGCTCGCACTTCTGAACAAACACTGAGCTCTCAGGGATCGAAATTAGCCGGATTCGAAATTTCTTAATTGGCTCGCGGCGTTAACTTAACCTAACCTAACCTGTACATCTTTGAGCTATAAAATAGTTGGTCACATTAATCATACCGTATGCCAACTTCCCAGACATCCCCCTTCCCTCTTAATTGTCGCGTAGCAATTGGCTGCATGGCGGCTTTATATGCTGCGTCATACCAGCGTGAGTTCTTCCACAGCGGTGCGAAGAGATTGGGATATGGAATCCCACTGCCCATTTATATCTGGAAGACGAAGAGTTGCTTCTTTAAGTAGGATTGAGAGACTGTTGAAAGTTCTCAGCTGTACGTAGCGATTGCATTTTTTGGACGTCAAACTTCGTCGAAGTTGTCAGTGGTGTTCTCGTGAAGACTGAACCATTCATTTAGTAACTCAATATTTTTCTTTATTACATACATACAATATATTTGTTTATTTTGGTAATATTTTTTAAATACCCTTCCATCAGTTCTCAGGCGAAGATGAAGACGACGAGCAGCACTTGATAACTGATCAGTGGATAGCCTTCTGTAGCTTCCATTTGGGAGACTATCAACAGGCGCTACAACAATACAAAAGCATAAGAAATGTTGAGCCTGCGACGGAGGACATAGCGCTCAACATTGCCGTTTGTATGTTCTATTTGGGAATGTATGAAGAGGCACATCGATTGATTGAACAAACACCGAATACACCCCTGAAGGTGCGTCTACTCTTTCATCTGGCACAAAAATTCGGCAATGAGGCACAGTTGACGCAATTGCAAGCATCACTGCGGGTAGATGTGGAAGATCAGTTAAGTCTGGCATCGATGCATTATTTGCGGGCACACTATCAAGATGCAATCGATATATATAAACGATTACTGTTGGATAATAAGTACGCGAAGGGTCTTGCCCATACCCAGATACAATCACAAGCATTAACATGTTTATTAAACATTTCAGAGACTATTTGGCCATCAATGTCTACTTGGCATTGTGCTTCTACAAGCTGGACTACTATGACATGTCACAAGAGGTGCTGGACGTATATCTGACTAAGCATAAAGACAGCACCATTGCCACTAATCTGAAAGCGTGCAATCGTTTTCGACTGTTTAATGGACGCGTAGCCGAACAGGAGATACAAAATATTGCAGACAATGGCACTTTCGGCGCCGATTTGATACGCCACAATGTGGTTGTGTTTCGCAATGGCGAGGGAGCAATGCAAACATTTCCGGCACTCTTGAATATCGTGCCAGAAGCACGTCTCAACTTGGCCATATACCATTTGAAGAGTGACAATGTGCAGGAGGCACATGCGCTAATCAAAGAATTGCAGCCCACTGTGCCGCATGAGTACATACTCAAGGGTGTGGTACATGCAGCGCTGGGTCAGCAAATCGGTTCGGTGAGTTGCTCATCATAGAAATATTATTCAATAAATTTGAAAATACAAAAAAAGTCAATTAATGTTCTCTTGCACAGAAGGAGCACATAAAAACCGCTCAGCAGAATTTGCATTTAGTTGGCAGCTCGGCAACGGAATGTGATACTATACCCGGCCGTCAGAGCATGGCTTCGGCTTTCTTTCTCTATGCGCAGTTCGAAGAGGTGCTGGTCTATATGAATTCCATACGAAGTTACTTTGTGAACGATGATACTTTCAACTACAACTATGCGCAAGCCAAATGCGCTACTGGTTATTACAAAGAAGCCGAAGAGCTGCTTATGCAAATTACTGACATGGATATTAAGATTCAACACGCCTATTGCATGATTATAGCCAAGTGTCACATACATGCCGGGCGTCCTGAATTGGTAAGCGGAGAAAATATTTGCTAAAACGGGTTAAGCTTAAAGAAATTGTATCAGGGGCCTACAATAGTTAGAACAGGTGTTTAGCACAACCCAAGTAGTCTTTGTCTGATTTTATTTTAGAATGCCACTTTTTATGGCTTTAATCAAAACCAGTGCCATCTGTAGCTCTTAATTTCTCCTCTTTAGGCTTGGAATGTTTTTATCACACGCGACACAAATTCTGAGGCCTTCTTATTACTGCAACTAATTGCCAATGAGTGCTACAAATGTGAGGAATTTTGGGTGGCTGCAAAGGCCTTCGACATGCTAGAAAAGTAAGATGGGCGTAGTGTTCCCAAAACAGGTTGTAAATTGTATTAAATGTACACGTTTTCTCCTTAAAACTTGCAGGCTCGATCCAAGTCCTGAAAATTGGGAAGGTAAACGTGGTGCATGCGCTGGCGTGCTTTATGCTTTGGCTTCGAAAGCCGATAAAGGTTGTCCACCGAATGGCGTTTCAGATGTAATTGGCTTGCTACGCGACTCATCCAATCCGCAAGCCGATATGATGGTAAAAGTTATACGTAAACATATAAATAGTTTGAGATGAATGTGAAATATATAAATACATACATACAACATAAATACACAAAACACATGAAACATATGTATAATATTTATAATAAAAGTTGTTTTAGAACTCAGAGAGGCATAAGCATATCGAGCCCTAACCGCCAAAATAACGTAAGCGACATTTTTTTCAAAATTTTCTTTTTGATGCAGAAATGCATCTAAATGCTCTAGGAATATTTCTGCATCAAAAAGAAAATTTTGAAAAAAGTGTCGCTTACGTTATTTTGGCGGTTAGGGCTCGATATGTTCATGCAAGTGGGGAAAGATTTTTTTGCGTACGGTTCAGCTCACGACGCCGGTTGAGTATTTAAGTATATCCACGTATCCTCTGGGGAGCGACCAAACACCCGGTTTTCGCCTAATTCTAAAATTTTATTTTTTTTTTGAAAATGGAACTACATAGAACACTTTTATAAAATTTATATCTGTGTACTGGAAAA